GGGGAATCTGGAGGCTTCCTCGGGCCACCCTGCCTCTAACCGCGGTCTACCTGGACGACCGGGTCACGAGTTGGAATGCTTCGGAGATCGCCTTGGGGCCATCTTGGGCCGCCATGGGGCTCACTGAGGGCCATGTTGAACCCGTGTTGTGCCTTTTTGGGGGCTCTCTTGGACTGCCTGGAAGCCCTTTCGGATGATTGTGGGGCGATTTGGGAGCCTCCCAGGCGGCTTCGGACGCCCAGAAGACCGCCGTCTTGGAGCGTCGGGAAGCCGAAAAGAATAGAACCCCAAAATTCACCAAAAACCATAAAGAAAATCAATGATTTCTGCCTCTCGGGGCCTTCTTGGGAGTGCTCTTGGAGGCCTCTTTGGGGCCGTCTTGGAGCGCTCTTGTGGTGTCTTGGGTGTCTCCAGGACGTCTCCGATGACCCCCCTGATCGCCCTAGGTGTGCTGGGAAGGCTTGGCAAAACGCCCTGCGAAGCCCGGGGGGCCCGCTTCGAGGCCCGTCCGGAAGGTCCCAAAGCCCTAGATCCTGGGGGTCCGGTTTGTAGGGGGCGAAGGGGGGGTTCCCTCCGCCGGGGCTTGCAAAAATATAGGAAGAGGACTATATATATGAATATATGTGTATGTATGTATAAACCTAAACACAAAAACAAAAAAAACAAACAACAAAAAAAATACTCCGACGGTGAGACCCCACATGAGAATATGTTTAGCTTACCCTTTGCCCTTTCCTCCTCCCCCTGGCGGACACCCTCTCCTCTCGCCCCCTGCACTGCCCTCTCTTCCTCCTTCTATTTCTCTTCCTCCTCCTCTTTCTCCTCCTCCTCCTCCTCCTCCTCCTCCTCCTCCTCCTCCTCCTCCTCCTCCTCTCGCGCCACCTCCTCCTCGTCGTCGGCCTCCCCCATGCCCCTTCCCTCCTCATCCCCCTGCCTTTTCTCCATGTGCACCTCCCCTTCCCCCTCGTCGGGGCAAGCAAATCCATTTTCCTCAGCGCCGTCGCCGCCTCGGCCAGCGCCTCGGGAAGCGGGCCCCATAGGGAGGGGGCTCCCGCCTGAGACTTCCTCACAATTCACTCACAGACGAGGCTCCCGCTCGAGACTTCCTCCATATTCAGGTCTCAAGAGCCCAAAAGTGACGACAGTTGCACGTTTCGGATGACCCGCTCGGATTCGAACATGAAGTGCGGGCCCCATAGGGAGGGGGCTCCCGCCTGAGACTTCCTCACAATTCACTCACAGACGAGGCTCCCGCTCGAGACTTCCTCCATATGCAGGTCTCAAGAGCCCAAAAGTGACGACAGTTGCACGTTTCGGATGACCCGCTCGAATTCGAACATGAAGTGCGGGCCCCATAGGGAGGGGGCTCCCGCCTGAGACTTCCTCACAATTCACTCACAGACGATGCTCCCGCTCGAGACTTCCTCCATATTCAGGTCTCAAGATCCCAAAAGTGACGACAGTTGCACGTTTCGGATGACCCGCTCGGATTCGAACATGAAGTGCGGGCCCCATAGGGAGGGGGCTCCCGCCTGAGACTTCCTCACAATTCACTCACAGACGAGGCTCCCGCTCGAGACTTCCTCCATATTCAGGTCTCAAGAACCCAAAAGTGACGACAGTTGCACGTTTCGGATGACCCACTCGGATTCGAACATGAAGTGCGGGCCCCATGGGGAGGGGGCTCCCGCCTGAGACTTCCTCACAATTCACTCGCAGACGAGGCTCCCGCTCGAGACTTCCTCCATATGCAGGTCTCAAGAGCCCAGAAGTGACGACAGTTGCACGTTTCGGATGACCCGCTCGGATTCGAACATGAAGTGCGGGCCCCATAGGGAGGGGGCTCCCGCCTGAGACTTCCTCACAATTCACTCACAGACGAGGCTCCCGCTCGAGACTTCCTCCATATTCAGGTCTCAAGAGCCCAAAAATGACGACAATTGCACGTTTCGGATGACCCGCTCGGATTCGAACATGAAGTGCGGGCCCCATAGGGAGGGGGCTCCCGCCTGATACTTCCTCCATATTCAGGCCTCAAGTCAGCGAGTAGTGATGATGATGATGATGATGATGATGATGATGATGATGATGATGATGATGATCGTTCGATGCCGATGATGGTGAGTGATCGTGCGATGGTGATGGTGATGCTGATGGTGATGATGATGATGATGATGATGATGATGATGATGATGATGATGATGAGTGGGGAGTGATGGTGATGGTTATGATGATGCGGAGGAGGAAGCAAAGAAGAGCAGAGGAGAGGGAGGAGGAGGAGGAGGAGGAGGTCCTGCGCGGAGGGTGTGCAGAGAAAACAAGAACCCCACTCAGGATGTGGGTTAAAAGACGCAAATAACGGATCCGCCGTACCCGAGCTCGGAAATGCCAGATTGCCAGGATTGCCGTTTGCGAACAAATGGTAAATCAAGCGCCGTCGCTGGACAGCAGTTACCAAACGGAGGACGGAGGCCGCGGCGTTCGGAGGCAACCGGAAGGTGCCACCTGCACCAGGATATCGACATTGAAACAAACGAGGAGCCAAAGAAACAGAAAACGCCTTACATATACCTATATGGCTGACGCAGGAGATCGAAGATCAATTGCGTCAGTGGTATCCTATTGGCCCAGCTCTGCATTAATGTGCCCGTCGGCGAGATAAGGATGGAGGCCCCGAGGTTCGGAGGCCATTGGCTTTCGCAAGTGGTGATCCTTGAAAACCCATGACCACCCTGTCGGAGGACAACGGTCTGAGGCTGCACAGGCGTGGCCACCTGCTCCCCCTTTGAAGGGAGCCGCCGCACTCGAGTCGCCTCGGGAGGCGCCAAGACCGCGTCATGCAGCGCCAGAAGCGCAGAGGGAGCCTCGTGGCCGCGGCGCAGACGAAAGCAGACGACAAAGAGAGAAGATGGAGGCCCCGAGGTTCGGAGGTCATTGGCTTCTGCCGATGATGGACCTCGAAACCCTATGGACTCCCGAGGTGAGACGAACGAGAAGGAAGTCTCGACAGATGGAGGCCAACCCAAATATCTGGAAATGTTGTCCCAGGAGATCGACCCATTTGTTCGCCGGACCGCGAAGTGGGTCTGAGATCATGGAGGCCCCGAGGATCAGATGCCGCCGACCAATGCCGGTGACAAACTTCGAGAACCCATGCTCCTCAATGATGACACTGAGATCGCAAAGCTTCTGATATTCTTCATTATACAACAACCCACGAAAGAATCACGAAGAGCGTTTTGCAAGCACTGCGCACGGAAGGGGGAATGTCCACTGGAGAATTTGTTGAAGTACTAGAATGTTTGCTTAACAAAAGGATTGTGCAAGTGCGGGGGAGATGGAGAAGGAGTGGGAAGCTGAAGCAGAGGGACCGGCAACATTTCCCAACGGGGGCTCCTTCTGACCACGTAGTGGTTGAAGACACAGGTGTTGCATGGTTTGTCATCGAAGAGAGGACACGGAACGCAACGGACGAACTTGGACGGCATTTCTGACATAATGTGGAACAAAACTGGCCATTGTTTTCCTGCGGATGAACTACGGCGGCGCCAATTGGTTTCAAGCGGCACAGTTCGCACTTTGGCAGAAGTGGAATTCGCTCTTTCAAGATGGGGAAGCATTTGAGTGTTTGCCAACGTGGGATACAACTGCCCAACTGCTATCCCGTGAAGATTACGCCCTTTCAGAATGGGAAAGCACAGAAGATCAGCTGAGCGCGTTAGGCGCAAAAGGACAATACTGAATCAGCCTCGAAAAGAAAGTCGCAGGCCTTCTCGCCCAGTTTTCCCCCCCCCCTCGTTTCCAAGTCTCCCGTCCTCGGTCCATCTTCTGCATGTGCCGCATGTATCCCCCGTTTTTTCTTGTGTGTCGTACATGTGACCGTGCTGGGGACGGAATGAGCAGATCTTGAGCAGTTCTGAGCGTCTGGCGCGGGAAACGAAATCTGAACGCGCTTGGCGCGGGAAGCATCTGTTTGGGCGTAGTGATAACAAAGAACACCAACGAGGACATTTCGGAGTGCTATGGCTTCAGTGGACGTGGATGGGGGGAAGGGGAAGGCATCTCGGAGTGCAGGAGCTCTGGCTCACAACTTACAGAGGGACCCAAGGACCCCCCCTACTTGGGAACCCTGTTCGCCAGAGCGTCCCCCTCGAGCGGGCACGCAAACAGGCCAGCAGCTGGTCTCTCGCGCTGACCCGTAGGGACTCGTCGTAATCAGCAAGCCTCTCTGAACGGGGTCACCTCGGAACTCGCCCCCTTGAGCTTCGGGGTATCCCCCTTGAGTTTGGGTGTGCGGTATACCATAGTCGCAGGGGAATGTGCATGTCGTGCCCCACAGTTCCTTTTTTACGGGCGTTTCGGCGTTAACCCCCTTAGCGGATGTCCTCTCCTGTCTTGTTGCTTCTCCTCTTCTTTTTCCCCCTCCCCAAGGAAGTGGTTGGCGCGTTGACTGTTTCTGGGTTTGGCGTCGGCTCTTTTGACATCGCCTGCTCTCCAGCCTCCCGTGCCCCGATGTGTGGTGGTGTCTGCTGCTGTCGTCCTGTGCGCGCGTTTATTACCTCCGTCCTCCTGTCCTCATTAATCCCATTTCCTCCTCGCCCCCGATTCCATTGGTTCGCCCGCTGTTCTCCCATCCCTGCGTCCTCGGTTCGTCCCATGATATCCCCTGTGCCATCACCCTGTGTCTGTTTCGCCTCCTTGGGCTCCTCCGCCCCTGTCCCCAAACAGCCAGGAGGTCAAAACGATCCACTCCCCGTGAGCTTTGCCGAGACCGCGGACATAGCCACCTCCAGCAGCAAGCCGCCCCGCGGCCGCTCGGCATGTCAGCTCCGCCGCCGGCCGGGCCGCGGCCCCCGCCCCGCCGTCGCCACACATAGCGGCGCGTCCCTCCTCATTCTTCCCTCCCCCCATCCTCCTCATCCTCCCCGTCCCCCCCTCCTCCTCCCTCATTTCTCCTCCCTCCTCAAGACGACAACGACGCGCTATTCCGATCGTTGGGCCTCGTGCGACGTGAAACTGTCAAGGCCGCTCGTCGGCTCGTCCGCGAAGAGCAGGCGGGGACCTTCGATGGGACGGGCGCGCGGGGGCGCGGGCGGCATGGAAGGGCGCCCCCCCCCTTTTCCTGTCAGGGTGAGGGGGAGGAGCAGGAAGAGGCAAACGAACGATGAGGCGCGATGGGAACGAGGAAAGGCGAGGAATGGAGCGATGATGAACCAATGAGAAAAGGAGGGAGGAGGAAAACGGAAAATCAAAGCAAATGGCGTAGAAAGGGAAGCTAGTGCTCTAAAGGCGGAGACAGCTAGGCGGATGTAAAGCGAGAAGAAAGGGCGCGCGAGGTGATCACGTCGCGTTCCCACAGTGGCGGCGGACAGACAGGGCAAGACAAAGGCAGGGGCATAAGGGAAAATACATGTCGAAAGTGTTCAAACGCGTCTGCTGTGAGTCGTCGGCCAGCGCACGCAAGCCGCGCGCCAACCAACGAAGCCTCATATAACATCGCACGGCACATGAGACCGAGACGGAGCAAACCTCATTCACTTGCGTGCTCAAATTTATGCCGCTCGATGCTCCAGGGAAACAGACCCTGGAAGCAACCCTCTCGCATGCATGCTTCACTATGTCGCGCTCGCGAATATAATTCGCGAGATGCGAACGTTTGCGCCATCCCCTGCCATCGCTGGGCCCGCGAGCTGCGAGGAGGTGGTCATTGCGAGCCCGAGCTCTGGACGAACTGGCGACTTATTGTCATGATGGGCGACCTTGTCTTGGGGGGCTGCTATGCAGGGAGCTAAACACGAGCGTCGCGTGCCGCTCCTCGCCCAGCTTGACAGCGCTGTGGTCGTAGCTGGGCTGGTCACTTGCGCTGTCCAAGATGAACTCTCGGCCGATGCCCCCCTCGGTCATGGGATGGGCCCTCCGTCGCGGACATCGCGCCAAAGCATGCCCTCAATCTGTTCGGCGCGGAGCTAATCTGACCAGCGCCAGAGACGCCCGGCCGCGCTGCCCCCAGATCGGGGTCGAACAGGGCCCATGCCTCCTGATCTCTTACGATGGGGCGGGCCCACGGTTCATCTCGCGACGCGCGAGGGGGTGCGCCTGCAAGCCGTCAACTGTTCCGCGAGGTGCAAGAAGCTCCGAGACACATGATGATCTGCACGCGAGCACGTGCTATCGGCTCGCGCCGTCGAGCAAACGGCGCGCCGCCGCGCTGGCGCGGCGGCGCGCGCCCGAGCGCGCGCATGCGGATCCAATCATGTCGCATCCAGTCCCCTCCTCCTCCTCCATGAAGAACCCGTCGTTGCGCGCTCAGACTTGGCCGGCGCACGCCGCAGAAGGAAATGCAACGCGCGTCGAGATCTTCTGCGTTGCCAAGACAACGAGGTTCAGATTCTGCGTCGCACGGTGGATGAGCAGCTTTTGCTCGGCCAGCTGCAACGCGACAACGCATGGGGCGACGCGGCGCTGGGCGGGGGGGGCGCGCGCTGCTGCTCTTGCTGGGGCACAAAGATTCCTGCGGGCTGACCTCCTGCCGGCTCGTCGGCCGTCGCCTCGACCAGGCCGACGTGTCTCATCAGCATCATTGTTTCGATGTTCTCGTCCTGGTCGGGCGGCGCGGCGCCGTGGCCATTGCGGCGCTCGCGCGCCCCGCACGTGGTGAAGTCATCGCAGTCGCCCCTCATCTTGCCGAAGACGCTCTCGACATGGCCGATCAGCTGGCCGACTTGCTTCTTGCGCCCACAGACCTTCAGATGGTCAACGTGTCTGGACTGCAAGGGCACGCAGGTCGAGTCGCCGGCGCCACGGGCACCGGGCGCCTCTCGCTTGACCTCGAGCCCCAGGACCCACCCGGCAGGCTTGGCGCCGCGCTCTAGCGAGCGGGCGGCCCAGGCGAGCACCGTAGAGAAGGCTCGGGTCGGGGCGCGCCCTCACGACCCGTGCCCTGCCCGTCGCAGCACTGGCGCTCGGCCAGCTAGTGGAAGGACTCGCTGCTTGGTCATCTCGGCATAAGTCACGCCCTGCAAGAATGATTCCCTCGACGCCCACGGCGACATCGACGGGGCCCCGGCGACGCACCGCCACCGAGAATGGCGCGCGCTGCGACGCGCGCTTCGCTGCCCCCACGAACGTCTTCTGGGCCTCCGCACCCGCGTCATGGAAGCCTCTCGGCGCCGCGCGGCGCCCGATGATCCTCGCGGTCTTGCAACCGGGCCCCTTCTGGCGCCTCCGCGCGAAGACGAAGAGTCTGGCGCCCATCTCGCCCTGGGGCGACCTCGCGCGGTCGCCTCTCGAAGCGCTTGCACCTGGCCCAGATGGCGAACTCCTCGAGGATGGTTACTGCCACGTCTGTTGCCAGTCCCGACATGTCCTTGCCGGTCGAGAGGTCGGCGATGGCCGCGGCCTCGACGGCCGCATATGCGTCGAGCGCGGCTGTCCGGAATTCGCCAGCAACGCTATTTCTGGATACTCTTCGATAAAACTCAGGAATGCTTCGCGCGCCCCATGGGTCGAGCTACAGCTCCGCGCGCCCCCCCCCCCCTCCTCTCCCTCTAGCGCGGCGCAGTCTAGGTCGGCGCCGCTCAGGTAGCGCGGCGCTGCGCGCAGATGCCCTGGCGCTGGCGCTGCGTCTCGAGGCGCCAAGGCCGCTCGCGTGGCCGGCGGCCCAGTCCGGCCGCGGCGTGCTCGACGGAGCGCAGATGACATGTCGGATGTCGTCGCTCTCCAGCCTCACCAACTCCTGAGTCAGATCCCCTGCCCCTTCGACTTGGAGCCAAGCTGCCGACGTCGCCTGCTCGGCGCGGGCGATGGGGGATACCCCGTCGACGGTGCTGGCAGCGTCTGGAAAGCCGATGACATAGTCATCGAGCGCTCCATCTGGACCCTGTCCTGCGTCGGCTGCCAGGAGCGTTTCGGCACCCACAGTCAACGGGATGATGCGAAATTCCTGAGGCTGCTCGCTGATGGGCACATGGGCGTCGGCCTCGACGCCGTCGAAGTGAATCTGTCGAATGCCCCCTGGGCTCCGAAGAGCCCGCCAGATGACTATGCTGCGGGCGCAGCCTAGCCAGTCGCCCACAAATTTCCGGCCGCGCATCAGACGCGCGGCACGAACGTCTCGCTGCTGAAAACCTCTGGGGGGCACGTGGCGCGGGAGCTTCGAGGGCGTCTGGGCGTTGCCGCGTCTGCGCGGTGATTTGCGCGCTCTTCGCGCCCCCCCAATGGCCGAAGGTCCCGGCGACTGAGCCTGGCACGACGCGCTCCAGGAGATCCCCCACTCGGCCCCAAGCCAGGCCAGCTCGCGCCAAGCCAGTGCCCACGCCGTCGCAAACAATACCAGTGGAGTGCCAGACGCCCTGCAACCTGCAGGCCATGTCGGATCGGCGGTGCTTGACCGTCACCGAGCGTCGAGCCGGATCGACAGATGTGACCAGCCCTGGGTTTCAAGCCCGACACGTCCTTCTCGCTCGTGGGCCTGCGGATCTCCGACTGATCGCTCATGTAAGCGGCCCTCTCTGGATTCTGCGGCGCGTGTCTGGAGGGCGCTGTTGACGCGGGGGGTAGGCGCGGCCTCGATCACGAGCTGCAGCGCCGTCTCTCGGATGCGCCACTGCGGTCGGCTGGATTGGGCGTGTCCATCAGCATCTAGACTGGCGCCAGCATCATGGACGCCGGATGCCAACCCTGTTCGTCTGCTTAGAGCGGCTGCAGGATGGGCGGCCGCCGCAATTGCCGCCCGAAAACGAAAATGCGCTGTGCAACGCCGCCCCCGCGGATGAGATCGTTGCCCGCGAAGACCGCGCGAGCCACCATGGCTTCGAAATTCGCTGCGGCACCGCCACCCTCTAGCTGCTCTTCCGCGGCGCGAAACGCACGTCGTCGCGCGGCAGCGCGTCGCTCGACGAAACAAGCGCGCTGTCGCATCGCCCTGACGCCCACCTGGACTCCTCGCCTCGCCACGCCCACGCCGCCCCCACCCCCCCGCCCAATTGCGATGGGCGTCCCCATCGCGCCAAACAGCTGGATCCACGAACGGTCGGCGGCAGCAAGCAAAGTCGAGCGGAGCCTGGGGTCGATCTCCTGGCCGTTGCGCCACCGCGAGGCGCGAAATATCACGGCGCATGATGGTGCGACGCATGGGGCATCGGATATTGCACTCGACGCGCTGGTTAATCGCGTCGAGAAGCGGGCTCCCGGGATAGTCCGGCGCGTTGGTGGCTGCCACCCATGACATCTCCTACAAGCAGTGACCGCGGCGGAGACGGGGTCGACGACGTGCCGGGGAACGTCGGCTGCGCGCGGCGCTCTCGCCGACCCCCCCGAGCGGCGAGCACTTGCAAGCGAAGAAAAAAGTTTGCAACGTTCGGGCCTCAGGGGCGGGCCCCAATGAGATCCGCCCCCGCCTGCGCCACTCGCGGCTCGCGGGGCGCCCAAAGCGGTCCGCGGCGCGGTCCCGGCGCGCGAAGTGGCGCGCCGTCAGTTTCGAGGCGCCCGCGCCGAACGCGGGGGGGCCCGCGTCGATTCTGGCGCGGAAACGCCGCGCATGACGGGGCGCAGGGGACGAAGCTCCAACGTGGACAGTCGCGCCCTTGGGCTTGCCCCAATGAAAATGAACCGCCCGCGCGCGCCAACTGCGGCGGCGTCGGTTGCGGCGACGCTGGCGACGCCGCTGGGGCCGACGGCGCGGCCGGCGGCGCCCCCCCCCGCCCCCGCCGCCCGGGCACCGCGACGCAGTCGAAGGACCCGATGGCCGAGCGGAAGCTTGCGCGCTGCACATGAGGTCGGCCATGACCTGTTGTCGCCGTCGCCATGCCAACATCGACGTCGCAAAGGCTAGGCGGGCGCGACGAAGACGACGCTGCCCCGGCCGCGAGCCGTCGGGCGACGAACTGGGCCGCTGCCGGCCGCTGCGCTGCCGACGCCAGCGTCGGCGCTTTCCCGCTCCAGGCCATCCAGGCCGCGCGCGCTCTTCAACGGGCGCTGCTCAGCTGGGCTCGGCGGCCCTTGCTGCCCGCGGTGCGTTTGCGGTGTAAATGCTGGCGATTGGGCGCGCGCGTAGATGTCGACGGCGTGCTCTGAGCCACGGCGCCAGGGGCGGTCGCGCATGGGGTGATTCTCCGACTCGCGTTCGCGGCATTTGAGATGCTGCCAATTGGGGCCCAAAGGGTCGCCTTGTCGGCCCGCGCGCGCGGCGCGACCTGGAAACCCCTGCCCCCCCATGCCCCTGCCTTTCCCGAATCCTGCGAATGTCTCTTGGAAGTCGGCACGTTGGCTGGGAAGGCGCGGCAGCGTTTGCCGAGAGGTTCGATGGCCTTGCGGGCGCGGCGCGTGGGTCCCCGTTTGTTGAAATTGCACTATCGCGCCCCGGCGCGCTCGCATGCCCGGCGCAAGCGCGCGCCGCGCTGCCCCGCGGGGGCGTCGCGCAGTTCGGGGTCCTTCGCGGCCGCCGCTTCGCCGAACGAACTGATGGCGTCGGCGTCTGTGCCTGAGTCGGCGCTCTGCGCTGGGAATGCCCGCGCTGGCGCAGGCGGGCCAGGGGCCGCCCCCGCCGCAAATGTGGCCAGGCCGTCCCAGCTCGATCCGGCCGCAATGTCATAGACACTCTGAGATTTTTTTTTTTTTGCGCGGGCGCCCCCGCGAGGGAGGTCCGCCGTTGGGCCGAATGGTTTGCGGGGGCGAGATCGCGGGGCGACCGCTCGAAGATGCGTCCAAAGCGTCGCAGCTGGCCCGTCGCGGAGAGTCGCCGCGCTGCGTCGGTCGCTATGGCGCTGCAAGATGACGGCCAGGAGGGCGTTCGACGCTCCGACCGCGCGCAGGAGATGTCTGAGACCCTCGGAGCCGGTTAGGTACGAGTTGAAGGACCAGATGTGCGCTGTTGCGTAGGATGTCGGAACGCGCGAGAAGGTTGTCGACGCGCTCCCGCGGCGGCCTGTTGAAGCTCATGCGTTGTGACCTCGCGGAGGTGTGTTCCTCCTCGCCCATGCGTTCCCATCGCTCAGCTAAACTGCGCATTTGGAAGGTCATCGGTGGCGCCGGGACGCCGTTGATGTGTCCTCCTTGGATCGGGACACGCGGCGGCCATTCGCCCGCGCATCCGCGTGCCATGCCAGTGACACGCGACGAGATGTAGACTGCCTGGCGGAACCCGCTGAAACCCCGGATCGCCGCTGAACAGATCATCGCCTCTTGCGCCCATCGCTGGAACGGCGCTCGAGACTGCTGCTCGGAACCCCTGGTGCGGAGGCGTCGCGCGTTGTCGCCGCCGCCGCCGCCGCCTGCGCCCATGCAGGAGACGTAGCTCGTCACGGCAAGCATGCCCGCCGCCAGCGTGGATAGTTATTTGCCCCATTTGTGTTCTTCCTCGTTTGCGCATCGGGCATGATCTTCCGTCGCGCGTACGCCGTGCTCTCGGCACCCGGAGCATCCCGCAGCGTACTTCTGGGAATCCTCTTCGTGCGTCACATCTTCACTGTAGTGAAAGCCGCCAGCTGCAAGACCGTCGAACAAAATACGAATCGGGATGTCGCCCTGCCTGGTTGAAAGGGGGTAAATGTGCACTTGAAGCGCCGACAATATAGTCGCCAGACCGTCCACGGGTTTCCAATTGTTCCCCAGCTGCTCTTCTCAGGGCTCTCGTGAAATACTCGCGAAAAGTTTGGTACCCTCGGCTGGCGCAGCGAATGTGAACACTAGTTCGATAAACTGTTCATTAGTGTACGAGGCAAATTATCCTGGCAATTGACCCAACCATATGCATTTTTGAATAACGCTTTGTGGGCGCCGCTTTGAGACGGGCTCCTCATGGGGCCACGAAACGTGTGAGGGGTGCGCAGTGATAGTGGGAGGAGGGAGGAGGGAGGGGGGAGGAGGCGGAGGATGGGGAAGGAAGGAGAGGAGACGCGAGGCGTGCCACGAAACGCTGTCCTGGGCGTACGGGACGCATGAAGGCGGTAGCACTGGGGCCTTCGGTGAAGCTCCCTATGGGGCCACGAAACATGTGAGGGGTGTGCCAAAATGGGCGCGGCGCCGCCATGCGAACGCAGCCACTGGGGCCTTCGGTGGAGCTCCCTATGGGGCCACGAAACGTGTGAGGGGTGTGCCGAAATGGGTGCGGCGCCGCCATGCCAACGCAACCACTGGGGCCTTCGGTGGAGCTCCCTATGGGGCCACGAAGCGTGTGAGGGGTGTGCCGAAATGGGTGCGGCGCCGCCATGCCAACGCAGCCACTGGGGCCTTCGGTGGACCTCCCTATGGGGCCACGAAACGTGTGAGGGGTGTGCCGAAATGGGTGCGGCGCCGCCATGCCAACGCAACCATTGGGGCCTTCGGTGGAGCTCCCTATGGGGCCACGAAGCGTGTGAGGGGTGTGCCAAATGGGTGCGGCGCCGCCATGCCAACGCAACCACTGGGGCCTTCGGTGGAGCTCCCTATGGGGCCACGAAACGTGTGAGGGGTGTGCCGAAATGGGTGCGGCGCCGCCATGCCAACGCAGCCACTGGGGCCTTCGGTGGAGCTCCCTATGGGGCCACGAAACGTGTGAGGGGTGTGCCGAAATGGTGCGGCGCCGCCATGCCAACGCAGCCACTGGGGCCTTCGGTGGAGCTCCCTATGGGGCGAAACGTGTGAGGGGTGTGCTTATGGGGCCGCGAAACGTGTGAGGGGTGTGCCGAAATGGGCGCGGCGCCGCCATGCCAACGCAGCCGCTGGGGCCGTCGGTGGAGTTCCCTATGGGGCCACGAAACGTGTGAGGGGTGTGCCGAAATGGGTGCGGCGCCGCCATGCCAACGCAACCACTGGGGCCTTCGGTGGAGCTCCCTATGGGGCCACGAAGCGTGTGAGGGGTGTGCCAAATGGGCGCGGCGCCGCCATGCCAACGCAGCCACTGGGGCCTTCGGTGGAGCTCCCTATGGGGCCACGAAGCGTGTGAGGGGTGTGCCGAAATGGGCGCGGCGCCGCCATGCCAACGCAGCCACTGGGGCCTTCGGTGGAGCTCCCTATGGGGCCACGAAACGTGTGAGGGGTGTGCCGAAATGGGCGCGGCGCCGCCATGCCAACGCAGCCACTGGGGCCTTCGGTGGAGCTCCCTATGGGGCCACGAAACGTGTGAGGGGTGTGCCGACATGGGTGCGGCGCCGCCATGCCAACGCAGCCGCTGGGGCCGTCGGTGGAGTTCCCTATGCGGCCACGAAACGTGTGAGGGGTGTGCCGAAATGGGTGCGGCGCCGCCATGCCAACGCAACCACTGGGGCCTTCGGTGGAGCTCCCTATGGGGCCACGAAACGTGTGAGGGGTGTGCCAAATTAGGCGCGGCGCCACCATGCCAACGCAGCTACTGGGGCCTTCGGTGGAGCTCCCTATGGGGCCACGAAGCGTGTGAGGGGTGTGCCAAATTGGGTGCGGCGCCGCCATGCCAACGCAGCCGCTGGGGCCTTCGGTGGAGCTCCCCATGGGGCCACGAAACGTGTGAGGGGTGTGCCGTGATAGTGGGGGGGAGGGCGGAGGGAGGGGGGAGGAGGCAAAGGAGGAGGAAGGAAGGAGAGGAGACGCGGGGCACCGTCTCTTCAAAACGAGGACCCAACACCACAGGATGGTTGGGGAAAAAAACGTCCAGAGTATTTCCCGCAGGCGGGATACAGAGTCTGAACAAACCTGTGAGAAAACGCGCATGAAGGCGGCAGGGCGCCGCTGTCGCACCAGCGTTCGGTATCGCAATCCTTCTGCGATTTGAACTGAGACGTCTTGTGCACATTGCCTTCCGCTAGTCCTGGAGGCGGACGGGGCTCTTCCCCAAGGACAGGGACATAGTGCACGAAAGTGGTGAACATGAAAATGATACGCCACGGGGGCGCAAACGGTGAGCACGCTGTACGTGCCCAACGCGATGGAATGGTGGAAATCGGTGACGTCGGTCCAGCGACGAAAATGGAAGGACGCCACGCGGACCATCGCGAAAACGGGAAACGTAGCTCCGCTACGAACTAGGGAATGAAATATAAGTGGGTAATGCTGTCCTGGCGACGGATACAATAAGGCAGATGGGAAAAGCGAGAGCAAGGCGGGCGCACGATGTGAGCACCTCGCGGGCCCACAATGGCGGCGGACAGACAGGGCAAGAAACGGGCAAGGACATAAAGGAACATACCGTCCAAACGGAGGGGTGACGAAGAACGCGAGGGAGGCACAGGAACACGAAACAGGGGAGTGAAGAACGGTAGGATCAACAAAAAGCGTAACCAATTCCGTTTGTTTCGATCGTCCTGCTCCCCATTTCCCTTCTGCGATCCCCGCCGAATCCTTTCCCCATCCCCCTCACAATCGCCTTTTCCACGTTGGTCGTCCGCCTTTACCTCTTCGTTCCTGCCCCGCCGCATCACCCATCACCATCACCGCATGAACATCTTCAGCAGCTCAACCATCAGCAACAGAAGAATCATCACCAGCCGCAGCACCAACATCAATAATATCGCCACACATATGCAAATGTCTGGCATTACGCAGATCAGCACGTTGCAAATATTCGTCACCTTCGTCAGCGCGCCCACCGTACTCATCGTCGCCACCAATCGAGAACATCAGCATCATGATCTTCAGCCCCACTCCTTGTTCGTATGCCCTCACTCGTCCCTACTCCCTCCTCCTCCTCGTTCTTTTCTTCCTCCTCCTCCTCCTGTTTCCTCGTCCTCCTCCTGTTCATTCTCCTCCATCCTCCTCCAAGTTACTCGTGTTCCTCCGTCAGTGTGCCCATCATTCCTCCCTGGTCCCTCCTCCTGTTTCCTCCTCCTCCTGCTCCTCCCTCGACCTTCCCCTCCCCCCATCCTCCCCGCTGGGCACCGCGGGCCTGTCACCAACTCCATCGCGATGGACACGCGCTTCCGCTGGCCGCCCGACACGCCGCGGCACTCGGGCGTGCCGACACGCGCCCCCGAGATCTTGCTCAGGCTCAGGTCCTCCATCACCTGTGCGCAGGAGGGAGTAGCACCAGTAGCAATAGCACTAACAATACTA